GGTTGGTGGAAAAGGAGGGGTGCCCCCGGGGAACCCGTCCCCCACCCGCCACCCGGTGAAGGCGCTTGCTCGGGACTTCAATGACTCTTCCTCCCTCATTGCCTCCTGTTGCCGCCTGGAAGGACAGACTCTCGGGTTTTGTTCAGAGACGATCCCCGAGCCCTGGAAACCTGGTCTTGGGCTCTGTCCTGCGTGAGCGCCCTCTGATCTCCATGCCCGAGCGCCCCAGTGCTGTTGAGGGGAAGCCGGAATACTGCGACCCGCACATGGGAGGCGCGGGCAGCGTGCTGGCTGAGGCTCATGGAGCCGAGGAGGCTATCGAGTGGGCGCCTGCCTGGTATCCAGAACGCATGTCTGCGCTCCGCTTAGCAGGTGAGCGCGTCAAGGAGTTGGGCGCGCGGGGATAGAAGGGATGGGGGCGCCCAGGAACCGGAGGAGGGCGGGAAGAAGAGAGGACTCCTCTCTCCTTTCCCCGGGATAGGGTCCTTGGGCCTGGAAGAGCCGGTACGGGGCTCCAGGCAGCAGACCGCCTCCTCCAGGACTTGGTGCGTTGGGCTGTGGGAGGCCCTGAGGGCTGAGGGCTGCGGTCTCTGCGACTGCGGGGCGCGTTTGTGCGGGGAGACAGCGCGGGCAGCCCGCACTGCCCGAGGCGGAGCACACTCCCCTCACCTGGGAGACACCGTCTGTGCGGCGCTTCTCGGTTGGACACTTGGGCTGGAGCTGCCTGCCAATGTTGATCTGAACTCGCTGCGGTAGCCCCCCGTCCCGCACTAACTCTATAGGGGCGGGAGGGGCCCGCGGTTAGAGTTGGGGCAGGAGATTCTACAGCCGCGAGGCGGTGGGTGTAAGCGGACCTGCAGCGGGCTGTGGAAGGAGGAGGGAGACGGGCGGTGCGAAGGTCCTGGTCAGCCCGGAGACAGCCTGCGCTGCTTACTCGCTTAGGACTTCTCATTTTCGTTGTATTCCTTTGCATGATGTTTCGTCTAAATCCCAATGCAGGGAAGGGCGGGGGTGTGGAAATGGCCCCCGAGTCTGCGAGCAAAGGTCTCCGGGACCCGAAATGCCGAAGCGTTTCGGAGTTTCGCGGGAAGGTCTCGGCGGCGCGGCACGGACACGGTGCCTGGCTCCCCTCGCCTCTTTGGCCAAGGTGAGGACGAGGCTCCGGCGGGCGGACTAGCCGAGGGACAGCTGAGCCCAGGCTGAAGGCACAGAGGATTTCGTGCGGATTCTGCGACCTCCGAGGGCGGAGGACACGAGGGGAAGTAGAGCCACTGGTAGCCCTGGGCGGACTCGGTTTGATGAGACCCTGGCTGAGCTGAGTAACTCCTGGGTTCATCCCCCCCCCAACAACCTCTACCCCCACCCCCAATTTTAGCCCCGGCGCCATGGCCTGAGTCCTGGCGAAGAGAAAGGTAAAAGCCGGTATGCGGGTTTGTTAATTAACTGATCGTTCTCCATTAATCCGTCCCTGGAGAACGAGAGACAGTCAATCCGCTCGGAGCCGGGGGCACTGAGCAGTTTCACAGACTAAAATCAAAGCCAGAGGCCAGAGCCCCCCTCCCCCACCCCGTGCGGGCCAATGAGAAGCTAGAGGGAGGCAGGTGCTGGCGTGCCCGCGAGCCCGCGACTCCGGCCGGGAGGCGTACGATTCCACTTATATGAGGGACCTAGAGAAATTAAATTCAGAGAGACAGAGAGTAGAACGGTGGCTGCCAGGGGCTATGGGTAGCGACCCGCTGGTTGAGCCTCAGCCCCGTGCTCCTGCGCTCCAAGCAAAGACCCCACGCAGGGAAGACAGGGGTGTGGAGGCAGGAAGGAAGGGGTTGACAGCGTGCCCTCTAGGCTCCCGCGATTCCGCTCGCTAGCCTCATGTGCTGCCACCGTATCGCCCCCCCCCCCCCCCCACCCCTCCACTGCCCCTGCGGCTGACTGCGACCTGAGAGCCGCTGAAGTTCCAGAGAGGGTGGAGAAACGGAGGCCCCACTCCCCGGCCGCTCCACTAATGCGGGTGCCTAAGGTGATCAGTGCCTTTTCACACGCCTGCGCCAGACTCCAGCCGGGCTTCGGGACCTTTTACCCAGGCCGTACCCGCACAGGCCGGCGGAGGTGGGGGTGGAGGGTTGGTGGAAAAGGAGGGGTGCCCCCGGGGAACCCGTCCCCCACCCGCCACCCGGTGAAGGCGCTTGCTCGGGACTTCAATGACCCTTCCTCCCGCATTGCCTCCTGTTGCCGCCTGGAAGGACAGACTCTCGGGTTTTGTTCAGAGACGATCCCCGAGCCCTGGAAACCTGGTCTTGGGCTCTGTCCTGCGTGAGCGCCCTCTGATCTCCATGCCCGAGCGCCCCAGTGCTGTTGAGGGGAAGCCGGAATACTGCGACCCGCACATGGGAGGCGCGGGCAGCGTGCTGGCTGAGGCTCATGGAGCCGAGGAGGCTATCGAGTGGGCGCCTGCCTGGTATCCAG